TACCAACGTTCCTAGAATCGCGGTGACAAAAACTGGTAACATTTTTTGGTAATAAAATTTTCCGGTTACAAAATCTTCGGTAACGTGCAGAATAGACCTGTAAGTTGCATTCAGCGCTCGTAAACACCTCACTGAGTCCTTTAAGAAATTCATAAAATGTATTATTTATTAGTACTTTAAAATAGATTAACACATAAGTTTGTTCATTTAGATACAACACAATTAGACTCTATAGCTGTATTATCACAATTGCCTGTATCAATTAGCAGGCCATATTATTTTTGTACATCAATTTTAAAGAAATGTAAAAAGCAATATTCTGATGACTTTTGTACATGTAACAATAGCTTCACATCTGTAAACGAATATTCAAAAACAAGTAAGAAAGTCTAAGTTCGGGCGGAGCCGAACATTAAATACCCGGCGCAAGTATTAAATATAAGTTTTTCACCTTTCCGAAAGCTACCGCTACATGGTAAGCCGGGGTATCAATTTCGAGTAAATTAGCGTCCTTAAATTTCTAAATATTGAAGTTTCAAGTATATCTGAAATTTACCGTTTTATGAAAGGTGATGTGGCAGTGCCACACCCATTTTCCAAAATTTTATCATAAACCTTTTTCTTGATAAAGAATTGTTGCAAGCATCAATTTTGAATAAATTAGCTGTAATATTTACTGATTTATCGAAGATTTTGTGTTTCTCTAATTGGTATGATGTACCAAGGCCAACAACTGTGCCAAGTTTGGAAGAAATTGGTGCAGCGGTTACCAAGATATACACATGTAACCATAAGTGGGCGTGGCTACGCCCATTTTCCAACAATTTATAATATTCTTATTTTCCGTCTAAAATTTATTGTAACTATAATTTTTAGTGAATAATCTTTAGTAGTTACTAAAATATCGCAGTTTTCGTATTTCTGAAAATTACCGTTATATGGGAAGTGGGCGTGGTTACAGTCCGATTTCGCCCATTTTCAATACCAACCTACCTTTGATAAATGGAAACCTACATACCAAATTTCGTTGAGATATCTCAATTTTTGCTCGAGTTATCGTGTGCACGGACGGACGGAGAGACGGACAGTCGGACGGACAGTCAGACATGGCTTAATCGACTTCTCTATTCATTCTGAGCATTTATGTATACATTTGTTTATATCTATCTCGATTCGTTTTGGCAGTTACATACAACCGTTATGTGAACAAAGTTAATATACCCTTGTGCACATGTGCGCTCGGTTATAAAATAATATATATTTTAACACGCGGTTAGCGTTGAGAGACCAAAGGAAAAAACCTTACCTTATCTCAGCTTAACTTACCTCACTTCATCTCGCACTACCTTAAACATACGGCCATATTTGGCATGTACTGCCGCCATCGCCCGGCAGAGCGATAGAAATAAATCTATCGCCACGTAACGCCGCCGAACAAACTTCGCATTTCGCTTTGGCTGTGTTCAATTTCATATACCGGCGGGTGTTCTAATTTTGATAGCGGGAATTTCACTGTGGTGAGTTCTCCGTCCGCCAGCATTGTGTTTTCACGGTTAAAGCAACTCATCTCACCTAACCATGAGTTATCTCACCTCAATCTAAATGATATCAACTCAACTCGCCTTATGAATTTTCCCTCAGCCCCAAATAATAATTAAACTAAGCAGGTTATTATAAAAAAAATGAAACTCGTTCAAACAAAGACTAGGACTAAATATATATATGCCTTAAACATACTTTTGTACTGTTTGATAATACGGGTATCAATATTTATTTTATCAATTTAATTGAAAAGAATTTCTCCCCATCTTAAAAATATTTTCGGCAGTAAACTTTCCCAAACCTCTTCAGTTTGGTACCCATAATGCAATATTCAATTTATCTTATCAATTTAATTAAAATTCTCAAACAGTTCGCGGCCTTCAGCAAAAATATTTTCTGTTGCTCATATTAATTTTTCTTTAATATATATAATGTGCAGAAATCAGGCTGTTACAATTTTATTATATGTACAGATATTAGAAAATTAGAAATTACACACCTCTTCCATTTTTTTTTATAATTAATTATCTAACATGTGGCAACCCGTTTCACAAAACTAAAACCATGTTGCACACGTACAGATCAAGCCTTTTAATTTGACAGCTCGTTTTTAAAACTCGAACGAACGATACAGATCCCCTCCGTACTTGATTAAGAAGTTTTATTTGAAAGAGTTCTGTATATTTTTCTTGAAGGCCGGAAACTAATCCCTGAAAAGTACGTTCACACATAGTTCGACTTTATAACAGTGTTTCTGATTCGGTGATTATAAAGCCCATAAAATTGTATTGTTTTACCTGCTTATAAGCAAAGACAAAATGGATGTGTAATTATTTATAATATATTTGTGTCCGTCGTAGGTTATTTAAATATCGCAAACATATTGATTGCAGATCTGTGTTTTACCTGTCATAACCTGCAGGGAATCCCAGTTTGAAAAAAACTAGACTAATGTAAGTCCCTCCGCTTTGTGAGACAACATCAAGGCGCACGACACAAGTCGGAGGAGAAGCTCGGCCAAACACTAACATATGTGTAAGCGCCAATCTAATAATAAAAAATAATGTAAGTTACTTATGGCCATAGCTTGGCTAAGAGCCCAACACTTTCTTCCATTCTGTTTACTTTCCTGCAGGTTATGGAGAATGAGCTGTAAAGCCAATTTTATATCCATTCTTTTGTGTTTTTTTTGTAACCCGCTATAAATCTCCTCTCTAATCTATTCCAGCTATACTAATATGTTCGTGTTTTATTCGCTCCTTATTTCAGGCACTGACGATGAGGCGCACGAGTATGACTTCTTGGGCTCGTGGGGGCCTCGCTTTGGTAAACTGGCCAACATGTATGGTGATGAAGCGAACGCTAAAGCTGCACATGCCGAATTAGGATTGTAAGACCACAAAGAATAAAACTAAGGGAATTTTTTATTAAATTAAATAGAAGCAGCGAAGTAAAGAAAAGAAACAAAAAAAGACAGCCAAGCGAACGTGAGCGCATACAAAAACGAAAATGCGAATGAAGTTATGAGCAGCAATTAAATTATTATGATAGTGTAGTCCAACCAAAGAAAATATTAAAAAATTATTTAAAGAGAAGCAGAGTGATTGTAAGTAGCTCACGCAATACTTAAGA